CATACAGTCAAACCTGTTTCGTCTTTGTTCTTATTCACTAACCTCTGTTTGCTCGAATCCAAATAACCGTTCCTCGCTTTACGAGCAGTTAAGAGGCTTTTACCATCACACACTTCGGATCCATCTTGATGCCTACACTTTTCACCCTTTTCTTTCTTTTCCATACTTAGAAAAGCCATCTTATCTGTTACACCAACCGGCTTCTCACTAGGGTTGATAACAGGATGATGAGGAATATACCAACAAACAGCATCACGGTCGAATCCCTCCTTACTAGCTTCAATGATGTAGCCTTTGCTCAAATGTTTACTCATCACAAGTTGATATTTCTCCAGAAGACTATTATCCTTCATAAACCTCTTCCTTAAACACTCTAGTCTACGTTCAGCCAGTTCCAAATTATTCGGTAGCCTTGGCTTATCATACTTCCAGGGTAGACCAACTTGAAAATGGCCACCTTCCAGTCTAAAGGAGCTATTAACTATTTCTAGAGCTCTTTTATCTTCGACAGAATATTCATTACGAGACCCATCTGCGTCCGCGAATTCATGATTATATAATCTTTCTATATCTCGCAAAATATCATTAGTAGAACAATGACACCACTGAACTTGATGTAAAGACCTCGATGCTTCTTTAGGACCTAAAATCATCCAACCGAGATGAGTACGCACACCAAACGGATGCTTCCTGTCTCCCAGGCGTTGTTCAAGGACCCAATGTGCATCTGGAGCATCACACCCAATCAATATTCCTACTAGATTACTTTGCAGCCTCGGTAGAGTTATGTCCCTTAAATGTTTCCACCTTCTCAGCTGCAGTTCGGTTAAAGGCTCTGCATAATCGATCGGAAGTTTCTTGGTCGTATAGGCCTTGTTGATCTTTATAGAACCCCGCTCATCTAATGAAAATACCTCTAAATTCACTTCCAGACATTCACAAGTAGAAGTTCCATTCACAGTCGTCAACTTTATTGAAGTCTCCTTACCTTTGAGACCTAACCGATTAACCAACTCTTCGCATACAATAGAGGTATCTGAACCATTGTCTAGAAGAGCGTATGTTTCCAGACATCCTTTGGGGCCATATAGTCTAACCGGAACGATACCCAAACAAACCTTTGGGAATTTCCAATCCTTAGCAAAATTCACTACATGTTTGTTAGAAGCATCAATATGCAATAATGGATTATGCCGAATCTTGCAATTATCAACGTCACACCTTGTGTCTGAGTTACACGACTTGGCTATGTGACCCTTCCTTAAACACAAGTAACATAGACCACGCTTTCTCACTTCCTGCCTCCTCTCTGTAACATTCATTTTTGATAACTTCATACAGTCTTTCTCCTTGTGATCACCAAAACAAATTTCGCAACTTAAAGCCTCGAATGAGTTGCTTGGTTCCCTCTTAACTACATTAAAGCGTGATCTCTTGTCAACTTGGCCTTCATAATTACCTTTACGAAACCTTGAGTTACAATGTACCAGTCTACCAAAACGTGATCGCGCAATTCTGGCTCTTTCTTCTACAAACATCACTAATTCTTCAAATATCGGCTCTCTACCGGTCATCATAATCCTATCAGCAGCTTCTACCCATTTATTCTGTAATTCCAAGGGTAAACGTGACACAATTATTTCCAAATTAGCCGTGGAATTCACATCAGACATATACCCCATTTCCTTCAATGTTATACATACATTACGTAACTTAATTGCGAAGTCAGTAAGGCCATCGGCGGATCCTTCAACTGATTTGTGGCTAAGTAATTCGGTAATAAGATTACGGGCAACGAGATGTTCTTTACCAAACAAATCATACAAAATTTCCTTAGCCCTATCGTAACCCAAGTGACTGGGCAAAGAAATACAAGCTTCAATAGCCATTCTGGCCTTTCCTTTACAATAGTAAGACAAATATGACAACAACTGGCCCTTGTCAGACAGTTTACTCTCTATAATGCTTGTAAACTGACTAATAAAACGGTGGTACTGGCTAGGTTGTCCGTCAAAAAACATCATATCGATTTTAGGCAAAACTGTATTATTAACCGTAGCACGTAACGTGTCCTTTAATTCATCAATACAACCGCATTTTGAGGCGTTAATTACCTTACTACGCTCAATATCACAATCCAAATACCTTTCGACCTTAGAATTTATCTCAGCTTTGTCTACTGACAGTTGGTTATCGTTTTCTATGAGCTTACATTCTAATTCAGCCATATCAACTTCCTCTTGAAGCTCTAACATTTTAAGCTGCTTTTCTAACTCAAGTCTCTTTTCCAAATTCTTCTTCTTAATTAATGCCTTATCTAACTTCAATCTAGAAGTACTAAACTGAGATGAAGACTTACTATTAACACTAATATCATCAAGTTTATCATCATTAACATCAGACATACCACAAACAGCTTTAGAAAATTTACCATCCATTTCGTCCTGCTCCTTCAGCTTTTTGCTTCTAGTTTCCATTGTATGCTTTGTTAGAAATCGATTACCAAGCAAATATGAAATTATTCCAAACGTATTCGCCAATAATAACAAAATGTCCAAAAGTATCCAAAATATAACCAAAGAACCAAAATTGAATTGTCCAAAGTATCCAACGACCAAATTAAAAGTTAGAAGAATCTTTGGACCCAAATTTCCAAAAGTTTCCAACGACCAAATTTGAATTGAAGAACCTCTGGAGCAAAACGACCAAAAATCCAATATATGACGAATTTAAATTAGAAGAACTTCTGGAGCCAAACGACCAAAAGAATCCAGTTTATGACAAATATAAATTAGAAGAACTTTGTTACGTCCAGTTTTTTGCTCGTTGATCTTACGAAGCACTGTTGTCGTCTATTTGTAATTCACGGTCCCAAATTTCTATACCAAGAACGAAACTCCAAAGTAGATACCAAAGTTTATTCCAAATCACAATTTCGACCAAAATACTTTATTACAATTAGACGACCAATGTCGTTCTTCTAATTTATTATCTCTTGGAGCAAAAAACTGCAACGAACAACAAAGAGAAACGGGAGTCCAATATGTCCGCAAATAATAATTCAAACAAGTTCATAAGTTAAGTAAAACAAATATACCCAAAAACAGTGAAATTAATGATATTTATACATGAAGGTTTTGATCAGCAAAATGTCTTCGTTTCTCCCGTAACAATGTGAAGAATATAAAGCAGATCTTAGCACATTTACCTCATGAATTCTTTTTATATGCAGACCTGGCCCTACCTTGCATTGTTTCGCAGTCATTGGAAGTTCGTCGTAAAGCAACTGTTGTAACTCGTGCCAATTATTCGCATCGTACACTGCAGTCTGAAAAATTATCTATAATTTTATGTGGAAAGTTTTAGCCGTCTATATGAAGCCAATGTATCTTGAAAAATAGTTCAGTAACTCAACAACGGTTTACAAAAAATATGTTAGCAATCTTAACGTTCTGATCTTGCGTGTAAATTGACGTGCCTCTTGTAACATGTTGATATTTGAGCATAAATTATTATGATTAATAAAATGCAAATGTGATCACAAATACATCGTTACAAAAAGATGATGTTCAAGATAATATGTCCATCGTTTGTGAGACCATATTTAGAATATCGGACCCGAGAATTGAGTCTTTGTTTCAAGTAACTTGCGCATATGCTAGAATGGTGAGTGACGGATATGATGACCAATAGTATGAAGGAAGAGTAAGGCACCTATTTCCATTTACTTACCGTGAGTCACATGGTAACTTCATGCTGACAGCGGTGGGTTCAATGATCAAATGTGATATTTCTTCCAGTCATCTAATACTGATAACTTGAGAGAACATTTAAGCGGAGTTCAGGAGCCAGGACCGAATCATTTAGGTCTGCGCAACTTCACGGACTGTAACACGTCGACCGACATCTCATCTTCATTACTGAAGACTAAAGGCATACAATATATTTTTCAAGATCTAGTGTACACCAAATGATTTCTTTGCGCTCGCTTGTTGTTCTTTCAGCGCGGTTCCAGATGCTTGGTAACATTCAGTGAAGGGTAGTTTAGACTGTATTATTCGAATTCAATTGACGTTTATTTATGAATCTGTATGTCCCATGATTTCAGTTAGTGCACTTTTCCTAGGGCAGTAGAATATCTAAATACCAGCAGTTATCACGTTACCAGGTCGTAGGTCAGTTGGTTGCAGTGTGGAGAACAATAGAGAGAAAATTCTAGTAATGGGGAGTTGAATAATTGATAGTGTAAGCTAAGAGAAGGAAACAGAGATAATGGATGAGATAGAACAAGTCCGTGATCTTAGAAAATGATAGTAGTAATAACAAGCAAGTTTAAAGATATGAAACAAGCACAGCTGGTCCAAAAGGGAGATGGTAATCTGCATGTGAGTAGTATTTTTCAAGGTAAACCGTTTTTACACATTGAAATTATGAATAAATCGTTGTCAGACTGCAACTGGAAACCTGAAAGCACTGGACGGTCGTTTCGTCCCGGTATGGGACTTATCAGCAATGCGCATCCACGACTACTTTTACTCGCAGGATTCAGACCCATGACATTTGGGATGCCGACTCAGTGGTCCAAAGGTTGGACGTTCCCGCGCAAGGCTGAAGGTCCTTGGTTAGAATCCTGCGAGTAGAAGAAGTTGTGGATGCTCACTGCTGATAAGTCCTATACCAAGACGAAACGGCCGTGCAGTACTTGCAGGTTTCTAATGGTGGTCTACAATGATTCATTCATGATTCCGATGTGTAAAAACAATGATCTCCGTAATACCATATTGCGAGGTAAAACTTCTTGCTGTGCTCAGAAAATTGTGAAAATGTATTCTCAACACAAGCTTTTCGAAATCAAGAAAGCTCTCCCACTGGAAAGATTCAGATCCAAACAAATAAGCGATTCAATTATTCTGTCAACAAAATTTGATGTTTGAAATACCTCCAAAAAACCTTGTAATGTGTCACCATTTTTAGCGAGGGAGTTTGGAATTTGGGTCTTAATGATTCCTTCAGACTTGCAGGATCTAGAGGGTAAGTCTTCATAGTCCAAACTTGTTTAATGCTGATTATTTTCGTGCAGTAAGTCTCTTTGTCATGCGTCATTAGTGAGGCGAAATAAATATATTTGCATTGTTAGTTTCAGTCTCAATTTGTTTTTAAACCCATTGAGTATGTTGTTACCTGCTAACAGATAGGTGTGATCACTTTTTTTCGATAGCCTCCCATCAGCAAATGCACTCCGCATGAACGAATCTACGCTAGTTTTGATAGTGGCCTATCTTCCAACTTTGTTTATATTTTAGGGTTTTCTTAGTTAACTAAAAATACATTTCTTTCAAACTAGTTGATTTCTGGACATTTTCGTCTCGATTACTCATATTTTAACATTAGAGCATCAGCAAAGTTCGTAGAATTTCCCTCAAAGTTGAGGTTTGGTCATAAATATGCATATATACCCTAAATAACCAATACTTTCCTTAACTGGTCGTTATAGTTTGCGCTGAAGCTGATAGTTCTCTAAATTATTTGGGCGACTAGTTTAATTGTTTGACTCGTTTGAGTCCTATAATAAGTACTTTTTCGTTCACTTATTAAATCTACGACTCTTCCCAAATTACTGTCTATTTTGTGGTGTGTTACTTAGATGCCTTAATGTACCAGAATGTATATCTACCGTGTGTATCTACCATAAATAACAGTAAATTCATTTAGTATTATTAGGGCTGGGTGCACGAGTAGTTTTTAAACAATTCGTCATCTAAGTAACTATTCCGTTTGTTTTCTATGAAAATAACCATATTAAATCAGTGAGTATGAGTCACTCGGTAGAGGCTATAATCACTCAGCTACCAAGATGGGTATCAATTAAAAAGCATTGGTGTCGTCACTTTTTTCGTACTAGTGTTCAAGAGGAGTGCCCGAGCACCACTGGGTGATGGGTCTGCTCTATCGAAATGCTCTCAAGTGGCTATGTGTATGTAGCCACTGGTCGTGACGTTCTACTCACCCGCTTCAATTTGATCACCTAAACATTATCCTAGTCCACACAGATCAGTTGGTTTGTGCGGCACATCTATACTTTAGTACAACCTACCACTATGGAATTTGAATTGACGGTTGCATCTGTGTGTTAATTTGGAATAGCAACTTTAACTGACGTACGTACGAACTAAGTTCTACGTTGTTGCTGACTGACTGACTTGTTTTTTTAGTACACTAAATCACTAGTGAATGATCAACTTCGTTGTCTGTTTTCGGCTAATAAAGTTAATTCATAAAACAATTCAAGGTTCCTTTTAAAGTTAAAAAGGTATGGTATATTTGTCCTACTAAATTCTTTTGTATTAAGCGGACTTCTTCAAAGTACTCCAGGTTTACCACGATATATTTAATAAGTAGGCGGTCTGTGATCATATTTTTAGCTTGTTTTCAAAAAATCTAGCTATAATTGCTGGGTAAATTACTTACAAGATTAATCTGTATCTCTTTAGTCTATTTACTCTAATTAGTGTGTTTACCAATGCACTGGAAATATCAAGAAAACTCAATTATTTTTATAAGGTTCATTAAATGTGTCCTTATTTCTGTGTTTTGGATAGATTCCTGGATAGAAGTCACTCCACAAAGTTTGGGTTACAACCCGAACAATTCTAACTACTCAGGTATTCACGTTCTCTATTAAGTCACAGAAACTAGGTTATCAAGAACCTGGCGGTCTCCATACCATTGTTGAGGAGAAATTACTTACTCGTTTCCTCTCAGAAGCCCAAGAACATTCAGACAAAGTAAGTGAAGGTTCTCCACCTAGCCCATCATCACATGACGAACTTCATAATGGTGATGGATTTGAACAATATCGCTCTACTCATCAAAGTATAAACATGGCGAAATTCCCTACTACGAGTTTTCCAAATGACTTCCCAGTTACTAGCTCTGGAGAATGGGCCAGTCGACCGGAAATTGGAGCGTAAGTCAATACATTCCGTGGTTTTAACATTTCATGTCGCTTTACAAGGCTGGGAAGAAGACAAATTGTCATCTGCCGTCTGTGTGATATTTGTTACTGATAGAAGTAATTAACCCATTCATTTTTTTATATCCAGGGTTTGGCGTAAGCAGAGACAATGATTTCTGTTCAGTGAATTAAAAACTATTTGTTTTAATATATACTGTTATCATTGTGAGATGTATCTTAGCGAACGGTTGTGTTTACAGTTCGTTAACGCATTTATTACTAATTAATATATGCCACATAACCTGCAATATATTTCAGACCAATTCTCGTCCATTATCCTTGTCTTCGTAGCATTCTGGACACCCAATTTTAAGTGAAAATACAATTTATGATTTGACGTATTGAAATCAAGTAGAGCCTACATTCGCAGCAGCACAATCATATCACGGCACTGGATGTTTTAATTAATACATTTGCTAGACAATAAATACTTGAAGATGATCGACTTTTGTGACATCGACCGATAGTCACATTGTGATCATATCCAATTATTTACTAGTAACTGCTCATGAATAACACTTATATGCGTGAACTCCAATAATCTTTAACTACAACAAAATTTTCTATAGTCGACGAACTGTTATTTTTCATCCAGGTGACATGTTAATTGTACGTTTTGTAAAGGTATGAATAAGTAATAAGTTCATTCACTAAATCATTTACATGCTTGACAAATGCATACAAATATGTTTCATTGTTTCATGCTATTGCTCGTAAGTACGTATTCCTAAGTTTACATATGATTATATTTGGTGATAAGTCATATTTTCTAAATAGTTAATCATAAAACAAATAGATAAAAATATTCAAACTTCTATCACATTCACACTTTCGATCAATGTATTTTTTAAGGCGATTATCTTTCTGTCTAAAAATGTATTATTGTAACTCATTATTTAATCTCGTCAGTAAAAACGATGTCATGAAAATGTAAGTTATTTTTGGCCTTCTCAGTATTTTAGTCTCCAATGTCCTTTTGTTAGCAAATTAGCAATCACAAGTTTTTTTTTTGCATAAATTACTGGACTAACTCATTGATCTTCCGGATTAAGAAGACAGAAGTTTGAACCTTGATGATATGTTTTAAACCCTAGTCCTTATCATTAAGCATTAAGTATGTTGAACATAAACATTTGTTGAATTGCTTGTTAATAAACTAAGGTTGGTTATCAATGACTGGTGTTTCCTAAACTTTCAAGGTATACTGGACTGGTTTGTCAGACAAACGATTCTAAAGAAAGCTTATCCGGTCGTCCTGTTCGCTCATCCCCAATGAAGGGCTGTTGGTATCTACGCAACTCAGCTTTTATGAAGTCGCGTTTCATTGGATGGTTGCTTGATCATATTCCGAATATATTAAGCCATGCAACTACATTCCTGTTGGGAGCAATTACGTAAGTTCGATAGAGTTTTACATCATTTAGTGAATGCATATATTTATTTGAATTGTCTAGTATTATACCTATGGAACTGAACTAGCCTTTGTTCATATTAGCCCAGAAAGCTGCTGCATGGTACACGAATTATCTTCATTTCCAGACCGCTTAAATTTATTAGTTCTTTGTTTTTGTATGCTGTCTGTGTTTATTTATCATTTTTCATCGTTGTTTCATGACCGAAGCTGCTACCTTGACGTGGTGGTCGGGCTTGCCTATCGTGATGACCCAACCGAGCTATACTGGCTGGAACATATGTTCCTGCAGGTCCTACCATGCCAGGCAGGTCGATTGGAGAACGATGAGACTAAAAGCAGCTACCCAAGGTCTGAGGGCGAAGTCGTACTGCTGACTGCAGAGGGGTGTGACAGCAGTAAGGTGTTTCCCTCGGACAACCAGCATCTGCAGCGATGCTGCCTTCTCACAAGGAAGGAAGGGTTAGAAAAGGTCGGCCCTAAAAATGTCACACTCCCCCTAACTCACGGATTTCCGTCTCCCTGGGTAAGGGTGCCCACTAAGGGCCTTTAAGAACGGAGCTAATCCTCAAAATACCTTTGATAAAAAGGCCGTGCGTGACCGGCCTCAAGCAGTTGTCCCTTGGACTCTGCGGTCACGCACCAACACTAATCCATCTTCCTTTTCAGGTCCCTCAAGAAACAACCTTCCACGGTGTGGGCAGCCGGGAAGTGACAACCGCCCTCATACCCGTACCAGCACGCGAGACCAAATTGGTCAAAATCAAATCCTTCCTACACCCCCTAATGTCTCTCTTATCTCTACGACTAACTCTACTCACACTCCCTTTTCTCACTGCACCGCTAATGCAGACGAAGTGAGATCACGAAACGTCGTTCCTGGTCTCTTGAAACCCCGTTCTAGACTACATATTGGAGCTTTTAATGTACGGACATTGTGTCAAATAGGGCAACAGGCATCATTAGCTAGGACTTTAGAATCTCGTGCCATCGATGTATGCTGCGTCTCGGAAACGCGCATACAGGATCCCATTAAAATTATTAATCTGATTTCACCTTGTCAAAACGTAGAAACAGCTCGATTTACTCTTCGTGTATCCAGTAGCCCTGATGCTGCTTCCAGGGGTCTTGCTGGGGTAGGCATAGCGTTGAGTCCTAGGGCAGAATTATCTCTCCTAGACTGGATCCCAGTAGATAGTCGTTTGTGCGCTGTCCGACTAAACGGGACATTAAGGACTCGTAAGGATAGGGACACTCGCCGTTGCCTCTTCGTCATATCTGCCTATGCCCCCACTGACTGCAGTGCAGACGAGGTTAAAGATGAGTTTTACAGAAAGCTTTCGGACCTCCTTCAAAAAGCTAGGCGCTCTGATATAGTAATAATGGCTGGTGACTTTAATGCTGAAGTAGGTAGACTAGGTGAAAAGGAAAGACATCTTGGTGGATGTTATGGTGTAGCGACTGAGAGAACAGACAATGGAGACCGTCTGTTGCAACTATGCTCAGATAACCGCCTATTCTTAGCGAACACCAACTTTAGGCATAAGGAAAAGCATCTGCTGACCTGGCGACCTCCAAAGTCGTCTCAACGTTGGACTCAACTAGATCACATCGCCATCAGTCACCGATGGAGGGGTTCGATAGAAGACTGTCGCTCGTTCCTGGGCACATGTTTGGATTCAGATCATGCTCTAGTGCGAGCTCGTATCTGTTTAAGGCTTACTGGGCGTAGGAAAGACACCGTAAGAAAGCCTCTCAGGGTTTTACTTAATGATAATCAAACCAAGAAAATATTTCAGGAGGAACTAGAAAGAGAGTTATGCAACGATGTAAGTGATTCCCATCCAGAAGCAGGTTGGTATGATATCAAAAAGGCTGTGGAAACAGCAGTGATATCTGCTAGTAAGGTAAACCATAAGGCTAGGATGAAGCCGTGGATATCAGTCGCATCCACCGAACTGATGGATGCTCGAAAACGCATCCCACCTGACTCTAAGCATGATGAAGAGCGTAGTCAGCTTAGGCGTAGACTTATAAAAAGTCTGCGTAACGACCGCGAACAGTGGTGGGTGGCGAAAGCAAAAGCGATGGAAAAGGCAGCGGCGATCGGCAACAGTAGACAACTTTTCCGCCTTATTAAAGAAACTGGTATTAAGAACCCGAATGTGAGTGAGACTATCTCGGAAAAGGATGGTCTTATTATCCATTCTCAATCCAGGAGACTGGATCGATGGGCAGAACACTTTAGGGATCAGTTCAACTGGCCACGAGCCACTCTTCGGTTACCCACGATCTCCAGTCATCCTGAATGACAAATCGACCTAAGTCCCCCTAGTCTTGATGACGTTGAGAAAGCGTTAGGAAATCTGAAACGAGGGCGAGCTGCAGGTCCTGATAGACTGACGCCTGAGATATTTAAGGATGGTGGTCCAGCTTTAGCAGCTAGGTTGACTGAGATCTTAGGTAGAATCTGGGAACTGGACGTAATCCCATCCGACTGGTCTCAATCCTTGATTGTCCCAATCTATAAGAAAGGACAAAAGTCTTCTTGTGACAATCACAGGGGAATAAGTCTAACTAATATAGTATCTAAAATACTGGCCTCAATAATACTTCGACGCTTAACGAAAGCTCGTGAAGAGCAGACTCGAGAAAACCAGTCTGGTTTTCGACCTGGACGTGGTTGTATAGACCACGTCTTCACACTCAGACAGGTCCTGGAACATAGACACACATTTAGGCGTCCTACAATAGTTGTTTTCCTAGACCTTAAGGCGGCATTTGACTCAGTGGATCGTAAGGTTCTGTGGCAGTGTCTGTCATCGAAAGGTGTACCACAGAAGTACATTAACCTCATACAAGCTCTTTACTCGAACACCACTGGTCGAGTGAGGGCTTATGGCGAACTGTCACCGGAATTCTCTACATCAAGTGGTGTCCGTCAGGGATGTCCACTTTCTCCATTCTTGTTTAATTTTATCATAGACATGCTCCTAGACATAACATTATCCTCGTCTGAATTTTCAGGAGTAGAACTTCTACCAGGTGGCTCGCTGATTGACTTAGAATATGCCGATGACATTGTCCTACTTGGTGAAGACGCTGACAAAATGCAGAGTCTTCTGACTACCCTAAGCAACAATGCAAGCATGTTCGGGTTGCGATTTTCCCCCTCGAAATGCAAAATGTTGCTTCAAGACTGGGTTGCATCGGCACCTGAACTAGTGATAGGGAGTGAAGTAGTCGAACGTGTAGACCGCTTCACTTATCTTGGGAGTCTCATCAGTGCCGATGGTCTGGTGACTGACGAAATCTCAGCACGGATACAGAAGGCTCGATTGGCTTTTGCCAACCTGCGTCACTTATGGCGTAGGCGAGATATCCGTTTGCTGACTAAAGGACGAGTGTACTGCGCAGTAGTTCGCTCCGTCTTACTTTATGGCTGTGAAACATGGCCAGTGAGAGTAGAAGATATTCGTAGGTTACTGGTTTTCGATCATAGGTGTCTTCGAAGCATTGGTCGTATATCGTGGGACACCCGAGTGAGCAACGCTGTTATTAGGAAACGGGTGCTAGGTAAGAATGGCAGATCAATCGACGAAGTATTGAAACTTCACCAGTTGAGGTGGTTGGGACATGTGTTGCGTATGCCCAACCACCGGCTGCCTCGTCGAGCCTTGTTTTGTAGTGTAGGAATAGGTTGGAAGAAAGTTAGAGGCGGCCAAACCAAAACATGGCAGAAATCCATGAAGTCATTGACTAGTGGACTGAGCCATGTTGGTAATTGTCGACTACCTGGTTGGGGTCGGCGAGATGATAATAATCGATGGTTAGAGACCTTGAATGACATGGCTCAAAATCGTTCGCAATGGCGCCGGTGCATTTATTCTCTGTGTTCTCTCAAATGCTAATCTTTTTGGATTCTTCAACACCTCTAGTTTCGACTCTCTAAACTTATCTCACTGAATCATACTTCTTGAATAATATCTTCTAATCCTAACCTCTCCGATTATTTCTAATTCCCTTACTACCTCTTCTACTATTGGATTTGAATTGACGATTACTTCTCTGTGCTGATGTGGTATGGCAACATGAACTGATGTACTTATGTACAAAGTTCTACGTTGCATCTGACTGAACTGTAATTCAATACTGTTTATCTCCTGCGGATCGTTTTAGTTAGCACTAGTGTTGTACTTCGTAATCATTCTCTGTTCTCAAGGAAATATATATATATATATATATATATATATATATATATATATATATATATATATATATATATATATATATAATACCATTGTTTGTTTATCTGATGGTTTTAGAGAGTCTTAACGATCGATCTCCGTTATTCTTCCTTTCTAAAATCTGTAAATCTGTCATCATAATACTTCATAATAGTAATAAAATTGATTCGATCAATCAACCGAAAGTTAATCACAGATTTTACTTGTGTTAATGATTTTGTAAAAATATTTTTATTGTTAGGTAATGAATTTCAAACCTATAATTCGACTATTTTTATACAGAATTGTTTTAAGTTATTTTTTTATTGTCTAATATCAGTGCTATTCAGGCTTACGGCTTTATTATCATTCAGATCCACAAAGTCTAGTACTATTATGCAATATTTCAAGCTTCTCCAGTAGCAACCATCTGCAAATAGCACAATTGATAATGTCACTTATATAATAATTTATTTATCTGAATCTAAACCTCATATTTGTTCTTTATCTTGTGTTGTAACCTCAGTGTAATTCTGTTGTATATGCATCAATCATTTGTGATCATGTGTTTTCTTGGAATTAATTGTAGTTTTTGTTAAAATTAATTTTTTAAAGGTGTTGTTGTTAATACTGTTATTTCGAAAGATGATTCACAAGCCTGGTATTATTATATAAATATAAAATCAAATTATAAATGTGATATATACATGTTTTATGGTACATCTGCATTAATTGACAGCTTGAAATGCGGAAATATGATAGAATGCAAATAAAGGCAAAACTACTAAATTGATTTTTTTTTTACTGATTGATGCAGCATTTTAAATTATTTTAAAATTTTAAAAATTACAAAGCGTTTACTTATAAATTTACATCTATTTCTTGGTAGAACAGCATACAAAGAAAAATGGCTGATTTTCCAATCTACATATTCATTTTTAAATGAAATAAGAAAGATAATCGGTTTGGCAACGATACAATGTTTAAAAACCAGGTTTAACAATCGGGTTTTACTTAGTCACAGGGTGAATGACCTGCAAACTAAAATCTCATCGTATCAAAACTCCGTGTGTCGTAAACTTTCATCTATAACAAATACACGCTGTAGTTTCTTCTTACTGTTACCTCTAGATCTAATTCATTGTATCAGTGTTTCGAATAACGGGTTTTATATGTATAGGTTCTAGATAAGTTACATTTTTCGACAACTATTAAGCAGTAAATATTAATTGATTAATGTTTAAAATAAAAAGTTTTTTTTTCAAGAAACAGTGTTGTGTGGAAATTTTTTCATTACTATTATTGACTCAAATTGCCTTGATTGGTTTAATATTTTCATATAAATATTCATGTATAATAGGGTGAAGCCTAATTACAATCTAATTGAAAACAATATTGTTTACTTATATATCTTGTTCTAATATTCTATTCAACAATGGCATGCAACCTAATACTTTAAAATTTGTATCATACTAATCAGTTGCACAGTGTGTAATCAAAATTTATCAATATTATTTATGTTTTTCTATTTTGCAGTATGCTTTTATTTATTGGAAAACGTGCAAGATCTACAAAAGTGTTAAATATACCTTTGGATTAAATCATAATGAATAATCATTCGATTTGATGAATCAAAAAGATATTTCCCTTTATGAAATTTAATGCATCAGTTTATATGCAGAGATAAGTGCAAAGTTGAAATAGGTTTTCTGCTGGTTTCGTTTTGTTCTCATTTTATTGATACCTTTTTTTTTACTACATCTGTTGAACTTCATATAATTGATTGTTACTGGTGTTTTCGGTCTTTATTATGTTGTTATAAATATATATATCCCTTGTTATTTTGACTTAAAACTTCACCGCACAAATTTGTATACACATTTGTGGTTCCTGTATTTTTCATACCGTAACTATATCTAAAATTATCAATAACATAATTAAATTGAGTTTGTTAAATATGTTCATGAATGTCACTACTTTCACATTCTTATTTGTCATTATCAATATTTTATATTTTTATTTATTTACATAAAAACATTGTTTTTCTATTTGTCAGAGTAATTTGAATATTTTTTGCCCAATATTATTACTACTGTTAGTAGTACTGTTGTTGATTTTTTTTTCTCATATATCATTATTGAAACATTCTTTTATCATATTTTATCATCTTTACTTCGATTTTCTTATTTTGATGTCCTCTTCAAGTGAAATGAATGATGCGAATAATTTGTTTATTGGTTTAACTATTCTAGAGATGAATAAAATTACCCTTTTCATCATTATTTATTTCTATGATGATGATAATCTTCTTTTTACAAAAAAAAAAGAATATTTTTACTGTTCTGTTTCGTCTTTATTAAAACGTTTGCTTATACTGGTGGTCTACTCGATTTATTCTCATTTTATTCGACTTTTAGGAAAAGATTACATAACAATGCTTCCTCTTTTATTCATAGTAATGGTCATGTTTTGATATGTAAGCTGGTATGTGATTGTGATCTTTACATTATCTTGCTTCCATTTCAGTTAAAGCTATTCATCTAAGCTGTTATGTCATGAAATATCAATGATGATTGGAATTTGTACAATTCAAAAATCGGTATACACTTCTTACACTGTTTCTGAAAGAAACATTGACTTTGCTGATCATTCTGTTGGAAACTATGCCGGTATGTATACATACAAGCAATCCAAATTAAAATGCATTATTGTTTGCAAATCGTCTATTGCCATACTTTTTGTTGTTTTTCTGGAGAACAGTAACTAATATTTGTCATGAAGTATATGTTTTATGTACTGAAGTGATATGTATTTCTTTTGTTGATAAGTACTGTTTTATAAATACTGGTTTGCCTTTTTTATGAATTACCAAACTAAAAGACGTCCGTAAGTGCAACTCAGGTTTCTTGTTATTTTATAAACTAATTGATGTGTGTTTATGCTCATCTAATGCTTTCTGTTATATTATATAATAACCGTCCTAACATACCTTAAAAATAATAACAATTAGTTAATTGTTATAAGATGGTTTAGGGTTGTTTCTGAAAAAGTCCCATTTTATTGTGCAATCAAATTCCCTTCACTCCTTATGTTCCTTTGTCAATCTCGTACAAAATAAAAATGTTCTAATCATTATTTCATCTGGTGTCTATGACTTCTTTGTAAAGGAAATTTGCAACAAACTGAGGTATGTTAGTAGCTGTAGACTACCTTATTGTAGTCCGCGAGACAATCGTAACCGGTGGTCAGAAGTTTTGCATGACGTGGCTCAGAATCGTTTGCAATGGCACAGATGCATACATTCTTTTCTCATATTCTTGTATAGATCCCTCATAACAATTTTTCTCTTTTTAAATTTATTCCACTAGGATATGCTATTCAAATCATATCTTCGACTCTTAATCTTTTTGATTACAGATACTGCTGCTACTCCTAGCACTATGGGATTTGAATCGATTATTCGATTTCTGTGTACTTATGTGATATGGTAACTTCAGTTGATGTACATGCGTACCAAGTTCTACTTTGTAGCTAACCGATATGAGTTCAATAGTCATTTAATTCATAACATCTTTATAACAGCCATCTCAACTCTACTCAAAATACCTTTTTCATTGCCTCCTTAATGTCAATGAGTACATTATTCCCAACTGTCCCATTCAGCTGTGCTTAAGAAACTCGCTAAACACATCTGTCTAGTCATAGGTCGTGCACTAAACAGCAATGTTCATTTCTTAGTTTTGATAAGTCAGCCAGTTACATCGTAGAACTTCGTACGTAAGTACATCAGTTCATGTTGACATATCACATTAGCACAAATATGTGTCAATTCAAATCCCATAGTAGTAGAGGTAGTAAAAGTATTAGAAGTAATCAGAGAGATGAGGGTTCGAAGATGTTATTTAAGAATGCTAATTCATTGAAGTAAATTTAGAAAGAGAAAGATAGGTGATGAGGAATTCAGAAGGTTAGAATTTCATAGAACACAGAGTGGATGCACCTGCGCCATTCCAAACGATTTTGGGCCATGTCACTCAGGGTCTCTAACCATCGATTATTACCATCTCGCGGACCTCACGCGGTAGTCCACGTCTAACAAGGTTACTCAACCCACTTTTCAGTGACTTCATGCATTTCTGCTATGTTTTGGTCTGGCCGCCCCTAGCTTTCGTCCAACCTATTCCTATATCTCAAAACATAGCTCTGCGAGGCAGTCGGTGGTTAGGCATACACAACACATGTCCCAACCACCTCAACTGATGAAGTTTCATTACTTCATCTATTGATCTGCCATCTTTACCTAGCACCCGTTTCCTAACAACAGCATTGCTTACTCGGTTGTCCCAGGATATACGAGCAATGCTTCGAACGCACCTATAATTGAAAACAAATAACCGAATATCTACTCAGACTGGCCATGTTTCACAACCATAAAGTAGGACGGAGCGATCTACTGTGCAGTACACTCGTCCTTTAGTCAGCAAACGGATATCTCGCCTTCACCATAAGTGACGCAGGTTGGCAAAAGCCAATGGAGCTTTCTGTATCCGTGTTGAGATTTCGACAGTCACCAGACCATCGGTGCGACCGATGCACTGTTGTGTGAGGTAGTTAAAATGATAAGCTTCTGAACCCCAGTTTTGATAAGTGCAATCAATATTTCAAACTGGGTTTCAGAAGCTTATCAATTTAACTACCTCACGCAAAAGTGCATCGGTTGCACCGTAATATCTATTTCCCCAAACACATCACCATACGGGTAAATGAATTATCTGTAGCGTAGTATTACTAAACCAATCTACAAGAAGTGCAATTTATTTGTGTCAGTTATTCTAAATATATGTTCTTCACTCAAATTAAGATATTTTCAGTTCACCAGTAATCTCATTTCAAATAAAGGAATTCCCTGTTGTTACTGAAAGTCGATATAATTCTTAATTTGTATCTAACCCGTACCTTTTGTGAATAGAAGGATTAAATCACATTGGGATTGTTTATTTATACAAAAGCAAATAATTTAAAGTAGGAAGGATAAAACATTATATATTGTGAAAATAGATTGACAGTACAGAAAAATAAAAAATTTAGACCATGGAAATGGATACAGTCATATAGATTTTTCTTACACACTCTCAACAAACATATAAGTATGCATTTCATAAGGTCAAGTTCTTATTGATGAGTCTAGTTTGTGTTCATAAACATTTACAAATAATACTAGGTAGTGTCATACTAGGACATGCTTATAAATAAATAAAATATTCCTCGAAAAATAATCGAGCTTCGTAAAAATTTGTGGACAAGTAGATATATATTGAGTTGATCAATCGAGGTCGTTTGTCTACTCAGGTATATCAGTGAGCGTCTACTATAGGATACATGTAACAAGACTATAAAATATTTGTTGTAATGATTAAGCCAGGTTATATGGAGCCTCATCTTTCAATAACCAAAATGTCAAACGCGAAGCCTTGTTTAGAAAACTCAGTCAATCACAACGTAGAACTTCGTACGTCAGTACATTAGTTCAGGTTGCCATACCACATTAGCACGGAAACACAATTGTCAATTCAAATCGCATAGTAGTAGAAGTGATGAGGAATTCGGAAGATTAGGATTTCATAGAACACAACGAGTTGATGCACCTGCGCTACTGCAAACGGTTTTGAGCCACGTCATTCAGTCTCTGATCATCGGTGTCTTTCGTCTCGCGGATGCCAACCAGGTAGTCTACACCTGCTTACATGGTTCAGTCCACTTGTCAGTGACTTCATGCATTTTTGCCATATTTTGATCTGGCCGCCCCTAGCTTTCATCCAACCTACTCCTACACCAAAATTCATTGCTCGTCGAGGCAGTCGGTGGGTGGGTATTCGTAACAAATGTCCTAACCACCTCAACTGATAAAGTTTCATTGCTTCATCTAATGACCTGCCATCCTTACCTAATACTCGTTTCCTAACGATAACATTGCTTATACGGTTGTCCCACGATATACGAGTAATGCTCCGGAGATATCTATGATTCAAAACCTGTAACCTACTAATATCCTCAACTCTTACCGGCCATGTTTCGTATCCATGAAGTAGAACGGAGCGAACTACTGTGCAGAAACTACTATAATACCAACCACTAGCTCTATAGGGAATCCAGATTACTTACAGAAGACTGGCAGTGGTTTATGCTTCTCGCCATATGAGGATTTGTTAGGACGACCCGAAAAGTCCTCTTATTTAGTTAGTTTGAGTACCGTCCATTGTGAAGCTGATGAAATCAGTGTAGATATATAAGGAGCCAGAACAGTTTATGTTGATCCAGACCATCTTTGTCGCCTTCACGATGGTAATCTGGGTATTCAAGTTCATATGTACAACTCATCAATGTGGTCAGTTCTTTTCTGTACATGTAAAATCTGGCTCCAACTTTTTACATCAATGTCTTTGACGGATTGTTAACAACCAGTGATTCGGTAATGTGTGTTCTAGAGCATTAACGAAGATTCAGTCTATGATTGCTATGATTGAATGAAAAATCACTGTACGACTTGTTTTTTTTAAAGAGATTTTAAACAATCTTATATATCTGACATAAATTAACAAG